TTAGGCTCTGAAACAACATCCGGCAGTTGTGGCTTGTTCTTATAAATCTTTATGTAAACCTTAAAGAACTCTGAAATATATGAAACTCATGCTATAGTCTCTGTAGTCTGTTACTCTGGAACTACAGTTTGTTTCTTTAGAACTACAGCAGCAACTATAATCAGCTATTTTAGAAAGGTCATTTCCCAGCTCCGCTTGCCTCGTAACCATGGTAACAAAAGCTGCAGCACATGGAGGAGGTTTTTAATTGCCACTTGATATACTGGCACATAGACAGGATATGCAAGTTTTGTTTACAAATCGAATTTTCGCTAAAGAATGCCAGTTCAAACAAGTGAGGGTACAAAATAACGCTTCAGCTGATTTTTGAAGACAGATGTAAAAAAAATCTAAGATACGAAATTGAAAATTTTGTTCTTGCTTCTAATTTTCTATTTCTAAAATCTAGGAATGGAAAAAAAACAAAAAATAAAAAATGTACATATTTTAATATTATAGAAATGTTTGAAAACATCCCTGAAAACAGAAACTGAGGGTATCCGCTCCATTTGCCATTACGTAAATTAGGCCCTGGCTAAGAATTGCTTTTAGGGCTAAAATTGATTTCCAGATTCCATTTTGACAAGCAAAATATAGGTACTTTAATTCGGTTTGTCTTTAGAATCAAAAATATAAGGCTGCAAGTGGAAATTTCAGAATACACTTTTACGAAAAGAATTTCAAAACACTATGTAGTATTATCTTGAATATACATCTCATCATCACAAAGTAGCATCTACATGTTAAAGCTGCGGAGAAACGAAAATCGGATTTAAAAAGATTGCTCGCTAACAAGAAGCCAAAGAAATATATACACGTTCTTTATCAGCATTTTGATCTTCTTCACTCGATCTTGTGGGAAAAATGTATATCTGCCGGCCGAATACCCTTAAAACTTCTCTGTGCTATGAACGGTTCATCATATCATGTAATTGCTGATGTGCATAACGTAGGAAGCCTTTCATGTTCAAGCAGTTCTTCTAGGTGAACCGCGAAAACAGCAAATGGCTTCCCACTTCTCAGAAAACTCTTTGTTGCTCTTACTGTGAGACATTTTAAGCATTTCAGTGTTAGGCATATCCAGGAACCGAATTAGAAAACCCACAAGGATGATATATGAAAAGTAGCTGATTTTGGAATGTACGAGGAAAAGAATCATTAATAATTGTCAGAATGTCTCTAACAGTATATTAAGCATCAGCCATGGGATGTAAATAGTAGCATAATGCTATCTAAGTCTGATGCTACCTATTTTAGATAAATTGCAAAAAGGTGCTTTCTTATGGCTTCGCAATACGAATGGTGTGAAATAATCTGGCATGAATTACTTGAACCGTATTGTGTTCGGCAACAAGAATTCATTTTACTATCCACTAAATTTCAGTAAACCAAATGAAATGCTTCACGATATTGCAACACTGTATATGAGAGCATGCAAGCAGTCTGTTATATGAAGCAGTGGTCTCAAATTGGCAGCCCACTGGCCACATGACGCCCACGAAGCAATTTTATGCGACCCGAGAATACAATTCAACATATTTGTATTTGTTGCAAATACTGTGTTGCAAAAATTTCAAGATTTTAGTTATTTGAAGTTTGAGTTTACATTATATTCATCACTATTAAAATCGAACACGAATAATGGACCAGAAATTAATTACTAATTACAGAGATAATTAATTTGTAACGCGTTGTAAATTTTACTCAAGGATTTGTTTGAAGATGCAGATTTTATTAACATTTATTCGTACTTGCCAAAAAAAAATAATAAGCTCGGTTGGGAATTTTTGTACTTAGAATAATCGCTTTATTTAAGAATATATTTATATGTGAAGAGCTTTCTTTCACGGTTGAAAACTGATAAGAAAAGAAATTGATTGATCGATGAACATCTACAACCCATGATAAGATAGTGTCTGGTAATTTATCTCCAATGAAACTAACTGTATCAGAATCGAAAGCTTTTGAGAGTCAAATTACTTTATTAAAGAATAAAGTTTACTATTATTTGCATATAATTACAATTATTTGTATATATTTTCATTTAAAAGTCTAAAAAATTTAATAAATAAAGGAAAGTGTGACTATATTCTTAAGGTTTTTACTATTTGAAAAATTTTCTTTGGTAACTTAGAAAGTTTTCATAATTTTTTTAATTTTTAGTTTAAATTAAGTTATTTAATGATTAAATAAATGTATTACAATTATCTAAAATAAATGCCCGATTAAAAATTTAATATTTATGGCCAATATATGTGTAGCAACAAAAAAATCTTGTAGGTGGTACCAAAATTTATATTTCAGACAGAAAATAAATATTAATTTAAATTTCTTTTCTTTGGGATATTGTTATTATTGTTTATGCATGTTTTTGCAAAATTTAGTAACCGAATTTTAAAATTTTATTAATTTTTTTATTTTATTAAAAAATTTAGACTGTCAGCTATTTTCAAATCGTGCATTCGGCCAGCATGCAATTTAAGACTATTGATGTAGAGAATACTTAGCTTTACACTATTATTGCAAATGGTTCCAAAAATTTCTAGTAAAATGATATCTATCTTTACAGATGCTTTATATATATTCAGTATGCATTATTCAAAATATTCCGCATGTAATACTGTTAGATGATATCGAATGCTTTAATTTTTTAATTAACTGTTAGCATGAAATGCTAAGAAATTCTTGGAATAATTATCAAAAAATATTGAACCCGAGTGCTCCAACATTTAGCAATTTTTCGACACCATTTCAAAATACTGATGACACTGAACTGAACTGATCTTTCTTTGATCATTCTTTGATCACCAGGCATTCTGCAGAAGATTTTATTAACGCTTAGAAGTAAATTTTGCTGTTTGTTGAACTTAAATTATTTTAACCTTAGCCTAACGTTCATCAGTTATATCTGCAGAATATAAGAAACGCATACATGGAAAATTACCATAATACTTAATAATTTTAAAATTATTTTGGAATATAATAGCACGGAAGATATGTGGGAATCCTAGAGTCCCCACTCTTTCATCAGTAAATTTTGATAATTTTTGAAGTTAATTTTGCTATTTGCTTGACTTCATTGACTTGCATCTGAAACATTTAGCAGTTATATTGAGGAATTTATACTACATTAATTTCTGTGACATATTTTAAGATGCACGTATCTATACGTTCTTAGAGCTATCACAAAAATATTTTAGGCCTTATATATACGGCTTTGGCCGTCAGAGGCGTAATACCTACAGAATTTCTTAAATTTTAATAAATAAATAAAAAAAAATACTTCAGAAATCATCAAAATCTTTTTCAGAAGGAATGGAAATTTTAGGACTGTCTTTTTACATCCAAAAAATCAGTTATTCGAACTGGTACACGAAACATTACTAAATTTTACAATACATTCCTGTTACATATATGTTTCTTAAAACCCTCTAGCCGACAAAACCGTATATATACGGCCCAAAATATTTTTTGTGATATCTGTAAGAACGTATACATACGTGCATCTTAAAATACGTCCAAGGAATTAAGGTAATATATTAAAAGTACATAAATCCAGGTATAAAGTATCAGAAGCATTGTGATAACAAAATCTAAGAAAATAATTCTTTCTCATGGTAATTATGCGAAATCCGTGCTTTCTTAGCAACCCCAGGCCGGTCTTATCCTGCAGGTACTAAATGTCGGATTAAATTAAAAATTTAATCCGACATTTAGTAGTTACACCTGCGGAATTACGTTAACTGTGCCTCAAAATTTAATAACAAGTAGACCATTTCGAAATAGTAATACACGGAAGTAGAGACGTAGTTCAAGTACAAGATTTCTGAGGTAAATTTTGCTTGTTTTTCAAATAAATTTTGCTGTTTGTTAAACTTTTTATCAAAGTATATATTAATCTAACATTTATTAGTTATACCGGAATAAATTTTATGCTTTTAACGTTCGCAAGGAGACTAGAAAAGTCAATCAATGCAGATTGTGAAAGCAGCATAGTCAACATTAAAAAATAAAAACAATCAATTTCGGACGTCAGAAACAAAGCTACCGAGCATTAATTTCATTCCTAAATGTTAAAGATGGGTAGAATGCTAAATATTCTTAAATACGAATTGTAAAACATTCTAGAACTTTCCAAACTTTGAATCTCTTAAATCCTTACGAAAAAATAATAAGAGAAAAAATTACTTAATGGTTAAAAGTTATTTAACTACACCCATCTGCTCTTACTGAAAAGCAAATTGGAGAATAAAATTTGTAGTAATATGTTTTATTTATTATGAAACTCCATATTAAATTCAGGAAATGAAGTGCATAATTATAATACTCTTGAATTTTAAAATTTATATTCTAAATAAAATTGTACAAAAATATCTGAATAATATCTTAATTTGTTTGAATTTTTAAATAACATTTTTAAATCAAAGCATGTAACACAGGACACAGGATATTGTCATGGATTAATGCAGACAGCCATGAATACCTGGTGAGTTAAATTAGCTTCAAAAAATAGAAAGTATGGCGTTCAAGGCTAGCAGGGGGTTACATTTGTGATCAAATGCACTAAGATTACAGCATTCGAACTCTTTTTTTAAGGAACAGTTTTGCGTAACTTAAAACATCTAATACTCAAAATTTTTTAGTTGAAGAGTTTAAGCCTTTTTAGGAAACATTCTTAAATTTTGATTGATGAGAAACAAACAAATATTCAAGTTTCTGAATTTCAAATATTTTTCCAAATTCGGATTATTCAACTGTTCCATTCATCATGCTTCGGCAGCTTCTGCCGAAGCATGATGCAGAGCACTCTACTTTAATAAAAGTAACAAAACAGTTTTGAAATGCAGAGAAATGTATGTACAAATTTAAAGAAAGCAACAATGTATTTTTTTTAATTTGTACATTTATTTCTGTATGTACAAAATTAAAAAGATTTAAATAATGGAAATAATTTTACTTACACAGGTCGAGAGCAGAGCTGCATTGTACGGAAAAGGCAACGAAAAAGAACCACAACACAAATAAATTGCCGATAGTTCTATATCCGGAATAGCGTGAAACAGGCATGATTCATCGGAGACACGAAACTTTCTTTCACCTTAAATCCATTATAGAGGTAATGTCTCAAACCTGCGCATCCTTTAACTCAGTACCTATGAAAGATAAAGGATAGCATATGTAATTTTTGTGTATATTTTACTGAAGTGTAATAATGTTATATAAAAGAACACAAATACAAGTAGTAATATTTTTTCTCAAGTGCACTTATAGGAACTATTAAGACTTTGGAAAATATGTACGAGAAATCAATCTCGCCCGGGTTCGAGCTAAGTATCTTCTATTTGCTAACCCTAACATTTATTGCACACAAATGCTTATATCATAAGAAGACGCAAAGGCGATTCTTTAAATTCTTCCTTACTTAAAGAACGATTGGGGAGATGTACGAGATCCAATCGATCAAACCCAAGTAGTGGCAGGTTATCATTCATCATATTTTAATTCGGGCACAATAGCAGATAATATTAGAATTTTTTCGACCAAGAAACATGAAAAATGAGTCGTCATTCGAACCACAAATCTTTCAGCTGCTAGTACTTAATCGGCTAAGTTAGAGATCGACCATAGGTGAGGCTGAGATAATTTCTTACGTACTAATTAAGTTTTTTTAAGCTTATAACTTTTCGTTAAACATTTCCTTTATTATTCGCTGTTCTCAGATAATTAAAATTGTTTTTTGTGAAAATAGCGCATTTAATACTGTTACGACCAAATTAAGGTTTTCGTTATAATTACAGAGGATAAAATAACATAACCTATTCAAAATTCTGGACCTTTACTCCTATATTTTTCCCCGCACAGCCTGCAAAATCTTTTCATTTGAATTTAATGTCAAACATGGATATAATTTTGCAAATTTTTTTTCAAAAATAAAATCCGTATCGTGGCGTAGAAACTTATGGTTGAGGGAAAAAAAGAGTTTATTAACAGCCCTTTAGCAAGTGGCGCTCTTTCGCAAAACATTAAGGAATTTATCTTATATGCGTCTTTGCTCATAGCATATTCTCAGAGTGTTTTCGAAGCAATCTGTAATTGTGTAAACGGTGAGATTTGAAACCAATGTGTCGTCACTACGTCAAACGTTAATAGCTTTATTTTCCACACGCTCTCGCACACAGGAGATTCTCAAAGTGTTGTAATTCAGCGAAGTATAAGATATTTAATTTGTTTCGAATATAATTAATCTGTTGTCAGTGAACACGTTGTAGAGACATTAGGTTTATTTCGGAAGCAGAAGGGACGAAAGTATGCAACGCCTTTCCCGAGAATCGAGCCGAGGACCTCTAGAATACCCGCCCAGCGTGCAGACCACCACACCACGAAGGCACGTCAAGAAGGCGGGAGAAACACCTTATAAAGTTACATGATTTAAAAGCAATAATCACTTCTTTAATAATTTAAATCTTTATTTTGTCTATTCAATAATAAAAAATTCATATAAATTTAAAATGGTTTGGTTTGGTTTATTAGATTACGGCAAAGCACTCGAGAGCTCTCTGCCTTAAGGGAGTGATGCCTTCGTGGAGGATTTTTTAAGGGAAACTGGCTCGTATAAATTTAAAATGAATTTGGTTTATAATACACAAGTGATAATTTATTTGAGTATATGTGGTTTCGTTGTAATTAATGAAACACGTTTTTAATGATACATTTTACGCAAACTGGTACAGAAGCTTTCGCTTTTTAACTTTTTTGAAGTTTTACATTTTTTTAATATATTTTTAATTTTTAGTTTTTCTTACTCTTTTTTTAAGATGCTAGATTGTAATGTATAATGTAATAAATCTTCAAATTGCAACCCTTCGCTTTATTTTTTTTGGCTGGGGGGCAATGATTTTCTTTTTCCGTTCTTTATTTTGTAGAGCATTATTTAATTTTCTAACCAGTTATTTTAAGTATCTTTTCTATCAAATAGCATTTCATTTCTCAGCCAGAATGCCAATTCCCAGCACGCGCAGTATTCAAATTAGGTAGAAACAGGGAAATATTTAAAGGAAAGTTCAGAGCGCGTTCTGCCTGCTTGAAGGCCACGTTGCTTTTGATTTGGTCACAGCCAGCTTGCGCGATAATTAAACTGTGAAGCCTTTAGGCTATGCTTAATTTCGTCAATTTTAATCATTATCTTTTGACTTAAACCAAAAGCGTTGGCTTCCGTAAGCACGAGTTGGCCCCGACTGTTAAGCTTTTAGTTAATAAAGGGTTCTATATACTCTTCTCTTGATTATGTAGTACTTTAAAAGACTTACTGATAATTCACTAAGCAAACTTTCAACGTCGAGTACATTTTATGATAGCAAATAATACACGACGTTACAATTTAATAGACTGTTAGCATTTCAATATGTTTGCACAAAAGCATATTGTTACGGCTTACAATAATTAAGTAGTCTACATCGAGGGAACTCTGCCTTAAAGAAAAGCATTTAACAATCTTTATTATTTAGTCGTTTTCTCTAATAAATTTATATTCTACTGCATTTACAGAAAGATCTAAAGCCAGAAATTATTTTGAAGCAATATGGAAAGAAGTATTACAAAATGAAACTCTTCTATTCTTAGACATATAAATAAATGGACAATAACTTTACGCTTCTTTTATTAGAAAAGTGATTTACTTCCATGCATGTTCTGCATTAATCTGCCGAAATATGTTATACGTCTCTCCCTCACAGCTGCATATTAATTTTCGTGAGCAAACTTCTAATGTGGATGCTTTAGTTAATTACACTTAATTTCTTACACAGCAAACTTTTGTTTCAGCATGTGCATACTTATTTTTAATCACATGTGCGAAAAAAATTTGCGAAATATTTCTTCACCGAAATCTACCCGTCTTGTCAACTCCACGACTGCTTAAAATGTAAAACAACGAGAAGGGCGAGGGGTTTCCAAACTAAACATCAGCCCCCTTTCAATCGATATTGCTAATGTCGCAACGATTTTTTTTAAGCATAATATTTTTCTTCTCTATAAAGGTAGTTCTTAGTACACAGGAAATTAAGAACTCCTGTTATCGAACGGAGAATAATGTTCCTTTAACGGGCATAAGTTCTAAAGAATGAAAAAAAAGGAAGAGTTTCTGGAAAGCGGAACGGATAGGAGAGAAAGAAGGAGAGAGAGAGAGATTCTGGAGAGTTTTAAAACAAGCCTCGGAACAAACCAGAAACAACGTTAAAAGAGTTGTGATTTATGGCCTGAGAGCTTGAAAGTGAAGTAATAGGTAGAAGGAGCTGAATCACTAATAGTGTTTGTTTTCGAAATGCGATTTTAAAGGTAGCTTTGTCAGTCGGTTAACCGATGGATGTGCAAACTGGGTCAACAGGATAACATATTAAACCGCTTAAAATGTTCTAAAATATCCAAAAATTTTATATCGCGGAAAGCAGAAGAGAGAACATATATTTTCTGTAAACGTTGTATAAACTTCATGTAGAAGTAACACCCTTATTGACTACGTTTAAAAAAATGAGAAAAAGTTAATATTCTTGTAAATTTCTTTAAATATTTAAGTTCATTTGTTTCTATTGTTGTTTTTGAGAACTGCTGTAGAAATGTGTACTGTTTTATTTAGATAACTAAATGAAACAGTGCACAACCTACATGCCGCTTTTAGGATAATAACTTAAGGATTTATTTTATTTGTAATCTAACTTGTGTTATTAACTCTTCTGTATATATGTTTATTTCTTACAGAGAATTGTAGATCTTTCAGTTTTGAATCCAACAACTTTTAGACTGGAAGAAAAGGTGAAATGCAAAGCGAGATATGGTCAAAAAAGTCCTGAAAGGCCTTGCAGACAAAGCGTTTATCCAAGTTAACGATATTTGTCAGTTTTTATATCAATTTAGCGATTTTTTGGAGCCGACCAAACGGTATAGTGGTTAGCGGAGCCTACTGCGGAACCAAAAGGCCCTGATTCGAATCTCGAAGAAGGTATGAATGTTTGTACGTATATAGTGTCTTTGTGGCATGGAGGCACTCTAAATATCTGGCTAGCCGGATAAGTCCTCTCGTGTGGCTTGGTAGTAAAGAAGAGTGGTGCGAGACTTTCGGACCACTCCCCCGGAGCACTCTCTCTCAAAATTGGGGTGGAAAATAGAAGTCCCACCGCCGTAAGGCTCTGGCAGCCATTCTTGCATGAAATTACATGGACCAGACAACAACAACAGCGATGTTTTGGAAGATTTGGAATAACGCATTTTGAAGCCCCATGACAGATTTTCCCGAAGCTTCCAGAAGCCCATGCAACATGCAACTGAATACTTATATGCTACCGGCAAGGATATTTACTAACTCAAAATAATGAATCTTAACTACATCGTATTAGCAGCATTATCACTGTAGGGTCATTAAGTTTTTTTGAAGCAAGAAACGTGAAAAATGTACAATGCTCTCCCCGGGACTCGAGGCCAGGACCTCTCGAATACGCGTTGCGTATGCTTCTACTTGCAGCACAAAGGCATTCGGAAAGAAAGAGAGAAAATACATTATAGCATTTCTAGCTATCTTAATGTCATCAGCATTAATATTTTTAATTAAAAGTTTGCTGACACTTTTCCTGAAAAATCTCAGGAAACTTTGCCTATGGAATCCTTGCCCACAGGAAACTGACAGACGATAAAACGCAAATGCAGGCATACACGCTCATAAACAACGAGTGCGTATGTCTTTTCTATATTTTATTCTCGGGTTTTCTTTTTAATCTGTAAACTTTGTTTATAAAAACACAAAAAAATTGCCTTAAACTTGTTTACAAAGATTAAAAATTCCCTCAAATGTGCTTAAAAATCTCTCTATACAGAATTTAAAGTTGCAAAGAAACGTGCCTCATATTCTTTTCTAAAATTTAAACTTTCACTGGAATTTTGATGCTTAATTACGTTACAGGGGGAGTTTGATAACATCACTATTTTTAAATTATTTAATTATTTTTATATATTCCACTGCGACATTTTGTAAATGAATATTAATATCCAATGGCATACTGCAACAACCCCAAGTTCAATATTAGTGAGTTTTTCTCCCTCTCT